GCACGGAGCGTCACTCCATTTCAACCTCGTCTAGAGGTTTTTCATCTGATTTTGACCAAAATAAGCAACTGCAGTTAACTTTAATCACAAATCACTCTTAGTCAAAATTTCCCAAATTAGTCGACTGACTGACTAGAATAACTAAACGTGATTGTCTCCATACAAAACGCATGATTTCAATCAACTTAGCCAGTTTTAGTTGTGTGTCACTACATACAGTTACATACAACTGAGTGACTGTTAGTCATTTTATTTTCACACGGGTCATTATTTGGTTCGAATGGTTTCTTAACATGTTCAATTAATGTGTTCTTAACATGTTCAATCAAAAACCCGATTTGGTAGCAAGTTGAGCTATTTGATGCGTACAAACAAATCCAACATTTTCTATGGAAAATGGAACAATTGGTGAAAAATGAGTCGTTGACTTGTTAAAATTACTTCAATTGATCTAATTTTTTCTATTTTTTAACAACAAAAAAACTTCCTTTTGCGATTAGGAGAGATAAAAACGCTTCGATTTTTTCAATAGAGAGACTTTATTCAGCAATAACATATGGTTAATAAAAAAAATTGAAATAAAGACTAAAAACTTAAAATACGTGATGTGTTTTCAAGAGATGTAATATTTGAATGGACTTTTTTTTATTTATTATAGCAGGGGCTATAGTCAAATTGATGTTAAGACAAAATATTACACCATCGAATTGTAAAATGAGATAAGAGAAATCCGAATTTCGTCGCCATTCTGCCAACGTTTCATGTCATGGTCCAATTGTGTTCATGGTCCAACTTACAAATTGCCACGTTTTGCCTGTTCCAATTCAATTGCTTCGAACAATGCTTTAAAGTTTCCAGCTCCGAAGCCCTGTGCATGTAGAAAAAATCGTTAGAAACTTGTTGAATGATGAAATTCCAACAAAAAAACAGAGAGAAATAAAAAGATTTTTTTTTCTTTTTCTTCCTTTCAGAGCGAAGGTAATGAAATCTAGGAAAAAGAGTTGATAAAATGAGCATGAAAACCTGGTGATTATTGCGTTGAATCACTTCCAAAAAGACGGTCGGTCGGTCTTGCATGTTCTTCGTGAAAATTTGCAACAGGTAGCCATCATCGTCATAGTCAATGAGAATTTGTAGTTCTTGAAGTTTTTTCAAGTCTTCTTTGACTTGAACCTTGCTGTGGACGAGTCTCTTGCGCAGCACATCGTAGTATGCATCCGGAATACTTAAGAATTCAACACCACGAGCTCTTAAATTAGTAATGGCTGTAATGATGTCATTTGTGTTGAGTGCGATATGTTGGACTCCAGCACCGCCATAATATTCGACATATTCGGCGATTTGCGACTTCTTTTTGCCTGGTGCAGGTTCGTTGATTGGCATTTTGATGGTTTCTTCGTAGTTTGTCATTACAATGGATCGCAAAGCAGAATACTCGGTATGGATTTGAGAGTCATCGACCGACCAAAAACGATGGAATTGCAGCGCCTTTTCATACCATTGAACCGTGATCTCCATTTGGTTATCCGGTTGATTGCCAACACAATGGTCAATGAAATTCAAGTTGATAGGCGGCAATGTTTTTAAAAGCTTATCAGCTTGTTCGGTTCTTTTGAATCCAGGCAAAAAACTGCCTTTGTAGCCCTTACGCTCGACAAATGTGTGGGTAGTGTCTCCGTACTAGAAATGGAGAAAAGAAGGAAAGAAATATTTGAGGTATAAATTTTTTGCGACTGTTTGTGTCCGCTTAGATAGTTCTTGTGTTAATTTGTTTCGCAAAAGCACAATTCATATTCGTTCTAGTTTTCTTTTTAAGATTGAATTGGTTTTCTTGGTCTGAAAATGGCGAACTCACGAGAACAAAGACTCATCGTTGACAAGAAAGAAAAGCCTTGAATATGCAAAGAAAAATATTCGAGCAAAAATGCTTACAGTTTTAACCGTTGCGAAGCGAACAGTTCCGAACTCATCTGACTCTGACCAAATGTCTCGCACGAAAATGGCACCTTGCTCTTTGGCTCTCTGGGATATTGCGGTTCATGAAAAGGGGAAAAAATTAAAAAAAAAAGAGGAAATTAAATCAAATATCATCCAATTAAATACAGAAAAAAATCTAAGGAGGAAGGCAAAAAATACACAGAGAGAAGGAATAAAACTTGGCAATTTTCGCATAGAAAAACGAGTTCGAATCAACACTAACCTTGACAATATAATTCAAATCTTCGACTTCAAAAGCGACATCCTTTGCGCCATCACCGTGTTTCACCAAATGATTTCCAATCACCGTGTCATATGGATCATACGCCGAAACGAACACGAATACAATCTGAAAATGTAATGAAATATTATTTTTATCGTCTTATATCAACTAGTTTTGATATAAAGCACTAATTAGAATCAGTCAGTAGTAATTTTTCGATATATAAGTTGATTTTGTTGGATTCAGTGATTCCAATTCACATAAACAAAATCTGGCGTCAAACGAAACTTTGAAAATTCAAATGAAACTGAAGCTCAGTCAGTTCAAGTACATACCTTATTTTGTTTCACAACATGTTTGGCAAAATGCCGATTGCCTGTTTCCAAGCCTTGGTATGCAAGTGGTTCGAATCCCAAACGTGTCGTATAGTAACTTGCCGCTTGCTTTGCATTGCCCACATAGAATGTTATGTGATCAAAACATACAAATTTTCCACCAGCTGGCTAAAAATGTCAAAAGTTGAACTAATTTGAATTAATTCCGATGAAATTCATGTTTTTTTTTGAAAATCGAAACAAATTTGTTGTTTGAAACAAAAATCGATGAAAATTAATCCGAATGAATAACGAAGCAGAAAACAAAATTCAAAGTTCATTCGAATTCAGAAAATTGAAGTACACAAATAAAAAATTGTCTCACCTTTGGTCCTTTATCGGTGTACGTCGTCTGAAAATGAAAAATTCAATAAGAAATTTATGAAAATTTGATAGTTTTAGTTTTACAGTTTGAAATGAAGATATCACAATGTAAAGTTATCATAAAGCGAAAATGAACGATTTGAATCAATGTTTTGGCTTAGTTTGGGTGTCCAATGTTTGGTATGATTTTTGGGCCTGATTTCACGCTAAACCTTTTTTTTTTAAATTTGGCCAATTTGGTTAGGAAAAAAGTGTTTAAAATTCTTTTTTTTAATAAAATTTCTTTTTTCAACCAAATTTTTATAACATTGTTTTGTTGAATTCAATTTGTTTCCTTCTACTTATCGAAATATGTTTGGATTTCTTTTGAATAGAAGATTTTGAATTGAACGCAATTTATCTTTTGGATAAACAAATCAAAATAATCTGCATCAATTTAAATAGGAACTCAGACTGAACATTTACACAGTTAAACTTATGAACACATCAAACCAACACCATCTGTAACTGTAGTCAAAATGTGATTAATTCAATTTTATCTATTTGCTCACCATTTTGTAGTCTTTTCTTTTAAATTCAAAATTCAAACTGGGAACAAATGAATTGCACTTATTTTGTTTGAAACTCCTTTTCTATTCACCGGGAACAGACTCTTAGAAGTAAAAAAAAACCGAACTTGATCAAACTCAATGAATAGTCTTGATTAAAGTGTAACTATCAACTCACCAAACTGATGGAGTGGCACGGGCTTTTATAGTTGAGCGTTCTCGTGCGATACCAGTTGATAACAAGTTTAGATGTTTTGCTTAAAATTTCCTCCACTCTCTCTCTTTCTCAGCAGCAACAAGTGTTGTTCATTCATCGTCGCGTCGTAGGGAACATTTTTATTGAATCAGTCTGAACCAGTTTGATAGCCTTCATAGTTTCGAAAATAGATAAATTTTTGGGGACACGCTTTGGACTCACTTTATTTCACCGGAAAAGAGTTTGACCCAATTTCTCAGTGTGCAAAATTCAGTTCCGCACGCTCTCTACGATAACAATGGACCCAGATTAAACGACGCAATACAACAAAATCCAATTTCATGAAGAAATTTAAATTCTAAAATCAAACAAACACTTCCAAATATGAACATATGTTTTGATTTGTTACAACCATAACCAGCGCGTGTCGTGAATGCATCTCATATTGTTTTTTTTTTTTTTGAAATGAGATGCCGGCGACAAGCATTTCTTTACGAGCGTAGTGTTTTTTTTAATTGGGTAAAACATTTGGCAGAGGAACTTTTGTCTCTTGGCAACATTTACATTTTGCAAATCATCATAAAATCGCCTTTTAATAATAACCGTGCGCTCTTGGAGACAAATTCAGATTTCAAGCGATGGAACACGATGGAATGGTGTCTTCGGTAAAGGTTTATGAAACAAGTATGGAAAGTTCCGAAAAAGTTCACGAATATGAAACTGAAAGAAACCAAAAATAGATCTTGAAAGGCTGAACAATGCACATACTGTACAAATCGATAATGAAATGCCCAGACAAATTGAATAATGCTCGAAAAAAAAAATCATTTTCCGTTCAAAGAACATCTATTTGGAAGGTAAAAATTATATTTTGATCCGAGAAATATCTTTTTTTCGACTAAAAATGTTGATTTTGTCTTGAAAATGATCCAATTTTACGAAAAAAGGTATTTGGTGGGTAAAAAAGAGGTTTATTTTTAAATGTTTTAATCAGCACTACCTACCTTCCTTTCTTTCTTACTTCCTCAAAATCTCGAAGTTCTCAAGATCGAATTCGATTCAAATTCCGACAATTCTTTCATTTTTCATCGAGTTTTTTCCCCCACAAATGGTTGAACGATTCTCAATAATAGCAACCAGCGTTCAAAACGGCTCCCCCATTTGACGAAACGCCAACAATCGTCCACTGATTTGTGTAATTTAGCGATTTATTGTAACTAAACGGAATGTGTTGAATTCAAATGAAGAAGATATTGAGTTGAATTTATCATCGTTCGCTAGTAGCAGTGCTACCAAGTATCACCAGTTACACTCCTTGGGAACAGGTGTTCGAATACCAACCTGATTCATATTGATTCCGAGCTGAATGGCCATATTTCATCTTCAATTACAGTCCACCTGGCACAAACGTCACCGTTTCAAACAAAAGACCCACGTCAAGATTCACATTTTTTATTATTAAAAAAACAAGTCTATAAATTAAATCAATTCATGATGTGATTTCTGCTAAATCATCCAACAAATTATGAATATTCAAATGAAATCAAATTGAAGGAGATTTTTTTTTCTCTTAGCTTCGAAACAATTTCTGTGTCGACATGGGGCATCACCTGATTTCTACAAAAATTCAATAACAAATCTTATAAATAAGTATTGATTCAGTGAAACTGAAGAAAACAACAACAATTAGCTGTTTATCTTGTTTGAGTGTTGCCATTGGCGCTATCATTAATATGCGACGAGTTCATCTGTTGATAAGATGAAGAAAAAAAAAACAACAACGATATGACAGAGCAAGAGGAGGCAAATATCATAATTAAAATGCATCAAGGAGGTGTGTATATGATGGCTGTGTGACGTCGAATGACCCCCACGAACATACCACAATGCATCGATTGTCTCAATCACGGTGATTCACATGCAATGTGTGTCTGTGACTCGTTTTCGCCGCATATTTATTGATCAATCAGCATTCCATGGAATCCAAATGTAGGTAAACAACACATAAATTGAAATAACTTAGATAAAACTTCATTCGGTGAAGATTATTTAAGAAATTTCGTCGCCATACACTCGTACACGTGTATGCAATACGTATTTTCCTCAAATTGTTGCTTAATTTGTTTATGATTCGGCACATGTTTTTATTTCGTATTTTTCTTCGTTCTTCTCCATTCCATCAGGTGATTTGAATATTCATTTTCATATTAATTAGTTTGTTGTTATTTCATCGAAACACAAACAATTTTTGCCAGATATTTTGTTTCAGTTTTAGTATTTATCGAATGATCAAATGAAGTTCATCAGCAAAGTATCAGCGCTTGCCCCACCGTTACACCGATCGTTATGAAATCGAAGAGAAAAAGAATAAAATGCGAAGAAAAAATTGCGTCCCAATGAATTTACTCAATCGTTCTCATTTTCGTTGGAATTGATTGATGCTCAGAAGATTCCATTCAAAATGGAATCGTTGCTGATTTTTTGGCAATGATTTCGATTTTTAAACGACATCGGTTCAATTGCGCGAGTCCTTAGAAATAAAGCAAGTGACAGCTTCTACAAAAGCAGAAAAGTAGTAAACTGGCTAGAATTCCAGCTGAGAATTCTGTAATAGTTAGACTGGATGTTTGATGCATTTCGAGTTTATATCCAGCAAACTGTCTGGACAAAAATGTTATCGAACAAAAAGTTTTAGTTTGAGAAAAAAGTAAAGTTCAATAGGAAATTGTGTACCTTGTTTTATACCACGACAAAATTATCAACAGTTTTTGCTCAGAGCTATTAATAACATGAATACCTATGCTAAGCCTAATGCAATTGCCGGAATTTAACAATACTTTATGTTCTTATTAACATTTTATTTTGTTTTCACATTTGGAATCGCTGATTAGTTTTTTGAATACATAAACAAGTCCATTTTATCGCCAATTTGTCAAAAAGTTGATTGATAATTAATTTGATCATTTGGTCTAAATCACAGATGCTTACTGCTAAGTAATTTTCTTCAGAAGTCATAGATAGAAGCTATAGAAGCTACCACTATGTTCGCGAGTCGCGACAAACGTTTTGTGACCTCATTTTGCGCCCGCATATTCCACGACTCTTTCAATGGAAGTGCATTTCATTCACTTCATTTCCCGTAAGAAGTAATATAACATACAATGTATGTCATACATTTTACAATTTTCAGCCAAATTTTTTGTAATTTAATTCACAACAATTGTGTTAGCAACAATTTTACCCTATAACTCCAAATATAGTATATAAAGTTGGAGTTCTATAAAAAAAAAGACATGAATATTCAACCGTATTCAACAAATCTTAAAATAAATGATCCATTTTACCAAATATAGATTTGACATGATTTCAAAACTGTTGAGATTGACGAGACAATTCTTATTAACGCGGATAAACATATTTTTTGCGGTAGCCTTTACTTCGTTTTTATCGTTTTTATTTGCATAATTCAAAATTCGTGTTTTCATTACTTCAACTTATTGGATCGAGAATTGAGAACATGGATGAAAGTGGAAATAGTTCGAGAGATAAAGCGTTATTTGTTAACTTCATTTGCAATATTTGGCTGTAAATAAATAATTATAAACTATACAACTTTAATCGAGAGAATCGAATGTTTTATTTATTTAATGATTGGGTTACAGTTCAAGTTTCGTAACAATTTTGAAGAAAATGGGATTCTTTTCATCGGTTTTTGGATTTGAAAAATGCGTTCATTTTAGTTTTAAGTGTTCGTGAATTGAATTGTTCATGGAATGGCTACCATGAACTTAATTCTAAACGCCGTGGTGGCGCTTCATGTGAACATCAGCGTCGATTTTTTGGATAAAACGAGCTTCACAGAATTCGCATGGAAATGTTTTTTCTCCAGTGTGTTGGGCTCGCATATGGTATTTCAAATTCGAAAAATGAATTGCGTTGACTTTGCACAAGTGACATTGATGAAAACGGCGATTGCATCGTCCTTCGTGTACATTCTTCTTGTCTTCTTCTGCGAACCGTTTCCAGCATTTGGAACAACGTACTGGACGTGGTTTTGCATGTGTGGACAAATGGTGTTTCAAATTGGACTTCTGACAAAACTTTTTACCGCAAACAGCACATTCAAATGGCTTTCGTCCACTGTGGGTGCGCATGTGAACCTTCATGTGTGTCAAATCAAATTTGGTATACTTGCACGCGTAGCATTCGTACGGACGTCGCTGACACTTGGCCTCGTGGTTGGTTTTATCAATTTGTTCAGCAAATCGTTGACGACACTTCGAACAACTAAATTCAAATTGAGAATAGTGGGTTGTTTCATGGCGACGTAAATTATTTTTCCGTGTAAAAGATTTTTCACACACTTTGCACACGAATGGCCTCTCGCCGGTGTGAACTCGAATGTGGACTGTGAGATTTGGCTTGCGAAATGTAGCGTAATTACATAAACGACACACGTGCTTCTTCTGCTGCTTTATGGCTGCTTTCTTCGAAGCCCTGGCGTTGGTTTCCTTCTTTCGATCCATTGGCTTCTTTGATTTGGGTGTGCGCTTGTGTTGCCGCCCGCCTTTGCCACTTGAACTTGGTGTTGAGTTGCGCACAGCATTATCTACTGGTGCATCGCCCATATCATCGTTGCCATTAGAGCATGAATCTTGTGCCGAATCGCATTCCTTCTTCGAACATTCGTCTTCACTTTTGACCTCATTCTTCACATGATCATCGTCGTATTCGAAATACATCTCTCTGTCGGTTTCGCCATTCGATTCTATCGCATCATTTCCTGCTGCTGCTGATGGTGGCCATCGTGGTGGCCGTGTGACATCAACCATTTGGGCGCTGTCTCTTGGTTCCTCTTTCACTTCAACTTCTTGCTTGATTTCGACAGCTGTGTTCGTTGATTGACGTCCAAGTTTACGCTTGGTGTTGCCATGCCAAGTACCTTTACTTGGATACGGCTTCATCGTGGCTCTGTGTTTGGAAGAGATGGAAAAAAGTACCAAACTTATTAAACTCTTTCATTCGGGTTTATTGAGTTTTGAAATATATATTTGATATATGCTAATTCTGTCCAATGATTTCTTTCATTCCTGATAAATAACAAGTCTGGCTGAATATGCAAATGTAAAATCGATGTGATTTATGTCTGTCACACTGTGTGTAGAGTAAAAACTACAATACATAAGATTTTCAACACTTTATTAATTTATTACTTCTCACAATTGAGTTTAAAATGTAACTAACTTCTTCTCTGGCTCATCTCTTTTAAATCAAAATTATGTTTAATTTGTTGGAATACGTGCATTTATGGAAAAACATTAAATAATCATTGAACAAAGCAAACATAACACTTCTGAACGTGCATTAAAATCAAAACATGAACGCGTGTAATCTAAACATTCTACATATCGATAAACTAAACTTTTTCTTATTCAAGTATAAAATCTGATATCCACATTTTCAGCACAATTTAATTTAATGAAATTACATTTTTCAATCTTACTCTCGGTTAAGCCGCACAACACATGACATTCTAATGCGATTCGCCATAAAACTGCGACAGATGAATTCACATCGATTTATTTCTTTGCTATGGCACTTTTACTCCATTTGGAAAAAATGTAATTATCAAATGCAGTAAAGTTGAGAATGTTTCTAGCACTCACCTTTCACTCGAAATTGAATCAAGTGAAAATTTGCTTGCACAATGCACAAATCGACCGTATTTATTCGATTTCCTTACAATTTTCTAATCCAAACGTTCGTCCACATGTAGACGTCTCCTTTCACTGCGTACAAATGAATCAGTGCTTTGAAAATCGACTGCGCTGTCAATGGTGTTTGCTGCTTTAGTTTTGACAAGCGATGGACTATGAGCTGTGGCACACTGAAGTGAAGTTGGCCGTATCGAATCAGATTCTGAATTTGAATGTCCTTCAATCGTTAGAAATTCTGAATTTTTGAAATAGAAACACAATTTTCCAATTTATTGGATCGAATTTTGAAAATTAGGAACATGGATGAAAGAGGAAATAGTTCAAGAGATAAAACGCCATTCATTGGCTTCATTTGAAATGTTGGGCTGGAAATAAATAATCATGAACTATCAGCTTTAATTGAGAGAATCGAATGTTTTGTTTATTTTGTGATTTCATTGGGTTACAGTTCAGAATTCGTAACAATTTTGAAGAAAATATATTTCGTGATGGGTTGAAAATGGGATTCGCCCCATCGGTTTTTGGATTTGTTAATTGCGTTCATTTTAGATTTGATTGTTGATGAATTGAATTGTTCATGGTTAAAGTAGATGATAATAGATGTTTTCGTTTTTCTTCAGTTC